AAAAAAAAAAAAAAACAGTGCATTTCCACCCATTTGTGTAAGTCAGGGATTCCTAACCCCTGGAACTTGGACCTGGCCTGTTAGGAAGTGGGCTGCACAGCAGGCGGTGAGCAGCAGGCAAGTGAGCATTACTGCCTCAGCTCTGCCTCCTGTCAGATCAGCAGTGGCATCAGATTCTCATAGGAGCACAAATTCTATTGTGAACTGCATATGTGAGGCATCTCTGTTGCTGCACTCCTTATGAGAAACTAACTAACGCCTGATGGTCGCAGGTAGAACAGTTTGATCCCCAAAACCAACCCCTCCCCTTAGAAAAATTGCCTTCCATGAAACCAGTCCCTGGTGCCAAAATAGTTGGGGACCACTGGTATAAGTAACCACATGCTCGGATAAAAACAATAGCTTCCACCACCTACCTAGTGGGTAAAATTACTGATTCAATGGTGCCTACTGTGTCACAGGCGCTGTCCTCTGTACTGGTAGGCAGACAAAACTTCATGAGTGGAAGAAGACAAGTAAATTATATGGATGTTAGAAAGTGACAAGTATTAAGGAGAAAAAGCAGGAGGAGGAGGAGTGCTTTGCCCAGGGTATAATTATGTGTGTAGGGGAGGGGGAAATAGGGGAAGTGGTTGCAGTGTTAAGGTGGGGGTCAATATGGGCTTTATCTGGGAAGGTGATATTTGAACACCTTAGTTGTCCTAATTTTGGTTTAAACAATTGTTAAGAGAATTATTGCACAGCATAAAATCTAAGCCTGATTTTTTTATTGTTTATTATATGACATAAAATTATATTTAGCTGTACATTTTTCTTAGTGAGCAGTAGGTATCTGTGAAGCAATGTTGTCAATGTGTTGTGTTGTTTCTTAGCATTGGAAATGAACTCCAGGCATTTTTTTTTTTAATTGGGAGGGGCGTTGACTAAATCTTGAGGTTTAAACTAGATTTGTAATATTAGAGGGTGAACCTTTTGATAGAATTGGAGTTAATGTTAGAATATTGAACCAGTATACCTTGTTAATCGTGCTTTGTATGCACACAGCAGTGTGATCTTGTCAAGGGGAAATAAAAAGCTTTTCTGTATTTGAAGCAATCACACTGAAGTAATGAGAAGGTGTTAGAAAATTTGGAAATTAGTTCCTTTGGGGAATTTAACTTTCAGGAAAATGATATTTTAAAATCTAATATATTCTTAAAATATATGCTGCTTTATCTCCATATGTTTTTTAAAAATTTGGCTTGCTTTTCTAAACCCTTAAAAAGTGGAACCTAAAATTATAAAGAAAAAAGGAGCAAAAAAAAAAAAAAATGTTGGCTAAGGATAAATATAATAAGGTCAGTTTATTTAAGGATAAGCTAGATGTTAACTTTGAGGACTTAGCAGTTGTTATTACTGGCAATAATAAACTTTATTTATTTTTTTGGGGGGGACGGAGTTTCGCTCTTGTTACCCAGGCTGGAGTGCAATGGCGCGATCTCGGCTCACCGCAACCTCCGCCTCCTGGGTTCAGGCAATTCTCCTGCCTCAACCTCCCGAGTAGCTGGGATTACAGGCACGCATCACCATGCCCAGCTAATTTTTTGTATTTTTAGTAGAGACGGGGTTTCACCGTGTTGACCAGGATGGTCTCGACCTCTTGACCTCGCGATCCACCCGACTCGGCCTCCCAAAGTGCTGGGATTACAGGCTTGAGCCACCGCGCCCGGCCAATAATAAACTTTAAAACAGTATTATCTCAAAGTAAAAGCAGCATACATGACAGAAACGGAAAAATTCAACACATCACACTATAGTTCAAATCAGAATCATTCCAATTCATAGCTGATGAGAATGTAGTGAAGTCATCAAATAATAAAGTTACCAAGTAAACTTTTTTAGAAGTGGAAGTTAACAATTACTGTTAAGTCTTATTAGCTAGCACTGAATTTGCACACAGGGTATTTCTGTTACAGAATAAGTTTATTATTTTATTTTATTTTTTTGAGACAGTGTCTCGCTCTGTTACCCAGGCTGGAATGCAGTGGCACAATCTCAGCTCACAGCAACCTCTGCCTCTCAGGTTAGGTTTATATATAAATAAATAATATGTAAACCTCAGCCTCTCGAGTAGCTGAGGTTACTGGTGTGTGCCACTAGGAGTTTATGTTTATTAATTGAAGTTTATATTCCATATATAAGAGGATTTATTATTCTAAAGTGGAGCTTAAATATTGAGAAAACTTTAAACACAATGATTTGTATATTTTCTTTTTTTGCCTAATTTCTTTACTGAAGAAAATATTTCGGGTCCATTTATTTATTTTTTCCATTACAAAAGTAGCACATGTTCACCACACAGATAATCACAAAGAAACCAGCCCTAAAACTTACCACCATTAGCATTTTGCATATTCCTGTCTTTCTAAACATGTATATGCACATGTTTAAATATATAAATAGACACACATACACACCTTTATTAAAATTGTGGGATAATTTACAATTTAAATGTATTATTTTATTTTTATTTCAACTTTTATTTATTTTTTTTATTTTTTTTTTTGAGATGGAGTTTCACTCTTGTTACCCAGGCTGGAGTGCAATGGCGTGATCTCGGCTCACCGCAACCTCCGCCTCCTGGGTTCAGGCAATTCTCCTGCCTCAGCCTCCTGAGTAGCTGGGACTACAGGCACGCGCCACCATGCCCAGCTAATTTTTTGCAGTTGTAGTAGAGACGGGGTTTCACCGTGTTGACCAGGATGGTCTTGATCTCTTGACCTTGTGATCCACCCGCCTCAGCCTCCCAAAGTGCTGGGATTACAGGCTTGAGCCACCGCGCCCGGCTTATTTCAACTTTTAGTTACAGGAAGTACGTGTGCACATTTGTTACATGGGAATATTGTGTGATGCTGAGGTTAGGAGTGTGGGTTCCGTTTCCCAGGTAGTGAGCATTGTACTCACTACCCATCTTCGTCTCCTCACCCTCTAGTAGTTCACAGTTTCTGTTGTTTCCATATTTATGTCTATGTGTGCGCAATGTTTAACTCCCATAAGTGAGAACATACAGTATTTGGTTTTCTGTTCCTGCACTAATTTGTGAAGGATGATGGCCTCCAGCCCCATCAATGTTGCTGCAGAGGACATAGTCTCTTTCTTTTTATGGCTGCCTAGTATTCCATGTTGTATATGTGCCACATTTTCTGAATCCAACCTAACGTAGCTGTATAGCATAATGGTATAGAACACAAAATTTGCAATCAGGGAGACTTGGGTTTAAGTCTAGTCCCATGAATTTATTAATTATGCAAACTAGGCAAGTTTCCTGGCCTCTATTTCTTTTATCTGTTAAATGGGGATGATGATAGTACATTCTTGAAGAGGTTATTGTAGGATTAGGTGAGATTTCATATATAAGAAATATCTTCCCCATAGCAGGTATATAGGAAATATGGATCATCATTGTTTTACATCTTAGTTTTTTTATTTCACTATGTTGTGAGCATTTTTACAAGCTCTTTATTTTTCAGAATGATTATGCTTACTATATTAACTAAAATTTATTTGATTTTTTTTTATGGAGTTTTGCTCTTGTTGTTCAGACTGGAGTGCAATAGTTTGATGTCAGCTCACTGAAACCTCCGCCTTCCAGTTTCAAGTGATTCTCCTGCCTCAGCCTCCCAAGTAGCTGGGTTTACAGGTGTGCACCACCACGCCCAACTAATTTATATTTTTTCAATAGAGACAGGTTGGTCAGGCTGGTCTGGAACTCCTGACCTCAAGTGATCCACCCACCTTGGCCTCCCAAAGTGTTGGGATTGCAGGCGTGAGCCACTACGCCTGACCTGAACTGCGACCTCCACCTCCTGGGTTCCAGTGATTCTCCTGCCTCAGCCTCTTAAGTAGCTGGGACTACAGGCATACGCCACCACAGCTGGCTAATTTTTAGTAGAGACAGGGTTTCATCATATTGGCCACACTGGTCTTGAACTCCTGACTTCAAATAATCTCCCTGCCTTAGCCCCCAGAGTGCTGGACTTACAGGTATGAGCCACTGCACCTGGCCTTTTCAACATACTTTGTAGTCTTCAGAGTACAGTCTTTTTTTTTTTTTTTTGAGACGGTCTTGCTCTGTCACCCAGGCTGGAGTGCAGTGGTGCAATCTTGGTTCACTGCAACCTCTGTCTCCCAGGTTCAAGTGATCCTCCTGCCTAAGCCTCCTGAGTAGCTGGGACCATAGGCGTGTACCACCATGCTTGGCTATTTTTTGTATTTTTTGTAGAGACAGGGTTTTGCCACATTGCCTGGGCTGGTCTGGAACTCCTGTACTTGATCGATCCATCCACCCCAGCCTCCCAAAAATGCCTGGATTACAGGCGTGAGCCACTGTGTCCAGCCCACAGTATACATCTTATACTTCTTTTATTAAATTTGCTTCTAATAACTTTATTCTTTTTGATGATATTGTAAATGGAATGTTCTTAATTTTGACTTCATTGCTAATGTATAGAAATACGATTGATTTTTATATGTTGATCTCAGATATTGAGATTTGCTGAACCAGTTTGTTTGTTTGTTTATTTTTGAAATGGAGTCTTGCTCTGTCACCCAGCCTGGAGTGCAGTACCGCAATCTCAGCTCACTGCAACCTCCACCTCCCGGGTTTAAGTGATTCTCCTGCCTCAGCCTCCCAAGTAGCTGGGACTACAGGCACGTACCACCACACCTGGCTAATTTTTTGCATTTTAATTAGAGATGGGGTTTCACCATGTTAGCCAGGATGGTCTCCATCTCCTGACCTCATGATCTGCCTACCTCAGCCTCCCAAAGTGCTGGGATTATAGGCAGAAGCCACCGTGCCCAGACAGTTTATTATTTTTAATAGTTTTTAATTACATTCCTATGAATTTTCTATGTATAAGATGCTGTTATCTACAAACAGACATGTTTTACTTCTTTCTTTCCAATTTGTATTTTAGAATTTCTTTTTCTTGCCTAATCGCCTCTGGTATAATGTTTAATAGAAATGGTGAGTGTACATTCTTGTCATCTTTTTTTTGATCTTCAGGGTGAAATATTTAGCCTTTCACCATTGAGTATCATGAATTTTCGTACATGTTTTTATGTTGTTGTTGTTGTTGTTTTAGACAGAGTTTCGCTCTTGTTGCCCAGGCCAGAGTACAGTGGCGGGGCCTCAAGTCACTGCAACGTCCGCTTTCTGGTTTCAAGCGATTCTCCTGCCTCAGCCTCCTGAGTAGCTGGGATTACGGGCACCCGCCACCACACCCAGCTAAGTTTTGTATTTCCAGACTGGTCTTGAATTCCTGACCTCTTGATCCACCCGCTTTGGCCTCCCAAAGTTCTGGGATTACAGAGGTGAGCCACTGCGCCTGGCTCGTACATGTTTTATATCAGATTAAGGAGCTTTGTTTCTGTTCCTAGTTTATTTTATTTTATTTTATTTTATTTTATTTTATTTTATTTTATTTTTGAGATGGCATTTTTGTTACCCATGCTGGAGTGCAGTGGATGAAATCGTCTCACTGCAACCTCTGCCTCCCAGGCTCAAGCAACACTTCCACCTCAGCCTTCTGAGTGGCTGGGACTACAGTCCTACACCACCACACTCAACTAACTTAAATATTTTTGTAGGTCTCGCTGTATTGCCCAGACTGTTCTTCAACTCCTAGGCTCAACTGATCCTCTCACCTAGGCCTTCCAAAGTGCTGGGATTACAGGTGTGAGCCACTGTGCCCAGTTCTTAGTTTTCTTCTTGTTTCTAGTTTGTTAAGGGTTTCTGTCATGAAAGAATGTTAGATTTTGCCCGTTTTTCCTGCATCTTTTGAGATGATGATGTGGTTTTCATCCTTTATTCTGATATGGTTTATTACAGTAATTGAGTTTTGGATGTTAAACTAACCTTGCTTTCTTGAGGTAACATCACATTTGGTCATGGAGTATAATCATTTTTTTATGTTGCTAGATTTGTTCTGCTATTTTTTTTTTGAGGTTTTTGTATCCATATTCATAGGAAATACTGGTTTGTATTTTTCTGTTTTTGTGTGATGTTTTTGGTTTTGATATCAAAGTGATACTGGCCTTATAGGCTAAATTGGGAAGCGTTTCTTCCTCTTCTATTTTTAGAAGTGTTTCTGAAGAATTGATATTAATTCTTCTTTAAATGTTTGATAGCGTTCACCAATGAAGCCATGTGGGCCTGGGCTTTTATTGTGTGTGTGGAGTTCTGAAATCTTTTAATATCTAGTTTATCTCCGGGAGGAGAGCACATGGACAAGATGAAAAAACAAAAACAAAATCTAGTTTACCTCCTTTTCCAACTGTTCTTCATTTACTTCAGGAATTCTTCCAATTTCCTTTTTGTATGGGTAAAAAATAAATGATTTTAATCTTATTTGACAAGAATAATAATCATCTTACACAATTTTCAATAACAAAAAAGGTGAGAATAAAGGAAGGGAAGAAAACAAACCACATATTTTAGTGAAATTTTTTGCAGTTAGCCTGTGGCTATAATAAAATTATTTTGTAGCAATGTACCAGTATGTCAGTTTGCACAGCCATGTAGAAAACAACTATTTTGTAAGTTGAAAATTTTCTGCATTCTAAGTATTCTTTATAAATGCTATGTTTCATATGCTTTTAATTGTATGGCTATAGGCTATTTATATTGTGGCAATAATTTAGTTATGAGGTTATCTAAGTAGAAATACAACATATTCTAACAGTATTTCATATACTTAAGATGAAGGTAAGACTGTATTTTCTAGCTATTTTTTAAAAAAGAATTATGGCAGGGCATGGTGGCTCATGCCTGTAATCCCAGCACTTTGGGAGGCAGAGGCAGGCGGATCACTTGAGGTCAGGAGTTCAAGAACAGCCTGGCCAACATGGTGAAACCCCATCTTTACCAAAAGTACAAAATTATCCAGTTGTGGTGGCATCTGCTGGTAATCCCAGCTACTCAGGAGGCTGAGGCAGGAAGATCCCTTGAACCCGGGAGGCAAAGGTTGCAGTGAGCTGAGATCATACCATTGCACTCCAGCCTGGGCAACAAGAGCAGGACTCTGTCTAAAAAAAAAGAAAAAAAACAAAAAACTACCTTAGATCCATTTTTAGGAAGAAAATGACTTTATTAAAGATGAAAAACTTTTAGCTACATTTTTTCAAGTTAGATATTTGCAGGTAAGTACAACCTATAGCACATCAGACTGGTTTTTCTTATTCTATTTTTTTAATTTATTTTTTGAGACAGGGTCTCACTCTGTTGCCCAGCTTCCAGTGCAGTGACGTGATCTCAGTTCACTGCAGCCTTAACCTCTAAGGCTCAAGCAATCCTCCCACCTCAGCTCACCTCCCACCTACCACCCCCTAGTAACTAGGACTACAGATGTGTACGATCACACCTGACTAATGTTTGTATTTTTTGTAGAGATGGGATTTTGCCATAATGCCCAGGCTGGTCTCAAACTCCTAGACTCAAGCGATCCTTCTGCCTCGGCCTCCCAAAGTGCTGGGATTATGTAAGATGTGAACCACCGGGCCTGGCCCCAACTGATTTTTCTTTTCTTTTTTTTTTTTGAGATGGAGGTTTACTCTTGTTGCCGAGGCTGGAGTGCAGTGGTGCAATCTAGGCTTACTGCAACCTCTGCCTCCTGGGTTCAAGCGATTCTCCTGCCTCAGCCTCCCAAGTAGCTGGGATTACAGGCATGTACCACCATGCCCAGTTAATTTTATATTGACTTTTCTTAGACTAAGACATACACAACTCCTGAAAGTGAGCCTGGTAGTATCATTCCCATCTTGTAAATGTATTATGTAATGGTGAGGGGTGTTAGCCAAAAAAACCCAAAATTGTAGCATAAAATTACTAAATTATTATTTTGGAAATTAATTTTTTAAAGTAATCATGTGATGCTATTACCATTCCTGCTCTACCACCGTACAGTAAGTATAACTAAAGATCATCTGCCATGTTCCTGTCCTTTACCGTGTGTTAGTCTGGATGCCAAGATGTGTCTGAAATTTAGTGATGTACAGCCTACAAAAATCAATTGTATTTTTATATAGGCCGGGTGCGGTGGCTCAAGCCTGTAATCCCAGCACTTTGGGAGGCCGAGGCGGGTGGATCACGAGGTCAAGAGATCGAGACCATCCTGGTCAACATGGTGAAACCCC